TGGGGTTGAACCGGGTCGAACCAGCGGGTTAAACAGGTCGGACCAGCTCCTGGGCGGGCCGGGCGATCGGGAATCTGGAACCAGAAGGGATCTCGGCAGGGGTTCGGGACCCTCTTACCCACCAGTTCATGGTCCCCGTTCACCGGCAGGGCAGTGGGATGCGAGTCAGGCACGGAAGGCTGGACCAGACGAGTATGTGGAGTACCCGTTCGAGGAAGAAGAGGAGTGGGGCCGAAGCAGAGGGCCACCGGGACCGCGGGGCTATCACGACCGAGTTCCGGGGTATGACAGCTATCCTCGCGGCTTTGATGGCGATCTGGTGTTTAGGGCCAAACACCCTACCATTGAGTTTCCAAAATTCAATGGTCATGAGGATGCAGGTCTATGGTTGTATGCAGCTAACAGGTGGTTCAAGAATCACCCCACCAAGTAAGAAAGGAAGGCGCATCTGGCGTCCTTCTACCTAGAGGGAGACACGTTACAGTGGTGGGAGTGGCTAGAGCGATCATGCGCAGCTGCGCAGACCTTGATCACCTGACCCTTGTTCAAGGAAGAGCTGCGGTATCAGTTTGGCAAATCAGAAGGGTGGGCACCGGAGCAACTGGCTAAGATGCGCCAGACTGGGACAGTAGCGGAGTACAAAGCGGAGTTTTTCAAGCTGGGCAATCAATGCAAGGGAGTGCCGGAGGAGACCCTGGTTGGGTTGTGCATGGTTGGCTTAAAGCCAGAGATAGCCGCGACGGTTAAGGTTTTTGAGCCCGACTCGCTGCGGTCTGCTTTTCGTCTTGCAGGTTATAAGGAGGAGGAGCTGGCCAGTTGGATGAGTACGATTGGGCGGTTCCCAAAGGCAAGCGGGAGTGGAGGAGGTGGCATCGGATTAGGAGGTGGAGGGGCGAATGCACCCATCGCCACCGGGCTGTCGCCAGCTGGCGCAGTCGTCTCGAGTCGGCAAGCCCCTAGGCCACCCCGCGAAAGGGTTCATGAGGCTTTCACCACAGGAAATCGAGCAGAAGAGGAGGGAGGGAAAGTGTTTCAACTGTGACGAGAGGTTCACTGTGGGACACAAGTGCACCAAGCCCGATTTGATGATGCTGGTGGGACGTTGGGAAGATGAAGCAGAGGAGGAAGCACCCGAAGAAGGGCTGCCAGAGTTGGAGTAGGAACAACAACCTTGAGGACAAGGTTGTTTTCCAAGGAGGCGGGGATGTTAGAAACACATTATTTGCAGTTTTTGGTTATTTTGTATTATTATCGGTTTTTTATAATTGGGGGATTATTTGGGGTATTCGGGAAATAAACAGGGAGTCGATTGTTACGTTTTATTAGTTGGGTAGAAGATAGGGATTATGTGGATTATATAATCTGTAGTAGTGGTCTTATTTTCATCAAGCAATTACATAACAAAAACCTAAAACCTAATCTTTCTCTCTCTCTCCCTCTTCCCTGCGTCTTTCCCCTCTCCCTTTCCTCTCCCAAAAGCTGCGGCAGCAGCAGCCTTCTTCCTCTTTCCCTTTGTTCTAAATTTTCCAATTACAATCCCTACCTAGATCAATCCCTAATTGATCTAGTTAATTTCCCCAATCCCGAACACGTTAGAAATCTTGTTTCTAACAAAATGTATTAAAGAGTTGCATTCACTAATCTTTTGATATTAAGATTCAATCCAACTATAAACCAACGAGTTGAAGATTTCAAGAGTTGTCGATAGCGAGATTAACACAAGTTTCTTTTTCTTTAATGACAAGATCACGATAATGATTGGTGGTGTTCGCATCCTCTCTCCTTATGAAACGAAATTATTTTTCGTATATTTTCTCTCATTACAACCAATGATTCACATTTTGAACAAATATGAAAATCAAGTGACAAGTCGATGTGGCTCTTCAATGTGACTTATATATTCTCCTAACAGGTCGTTTGGATGCATCATTTTGGTTTTCTAGTATTGCATTGTTTTGGTATGTGGTATTTGAGTTTGGAATGTGACAATTGAGTCTAATTGTCTTGTTTGGATAGAACATTCACATGCTGTGATATTTCACCGATTAAAGAAGAGAGGAGTGTGTTAATTGAAATGTACAGGGGAGATGAGGTATTCCAATTGACTAATTGTGCATCATTTTAATTGTTGGTGGCCCCAAAATACCACAATCCAATTTTGGTTTGCCAAACGAGTTATTTCAACCCAAATAATTGAGAATGAGTTATTCGGTTGAAATAACTCATTCAAATGTTGCTTCCAAACGACCTCTATTAAAAGGGGTGGGATATGTCATATGTGAGATGTGCCGCCAAAAACTCTAGGGGGTCGTTTGGATGGGTTAATTAACAATGTGGTAGTTGTAGAGTCAAATAACTCATTTATTGTTCATGTGATATTTCAGTGTTGTTTCAGTGGTAATGATGTGATCCAAATCCGAAGAAAACCCTCGAACTCGGATTATATGACCAAAGTACGCAACCTTCCTTCTTTTTACGGAATTTTCGAAGCTTTCTTGACAACTTGAAAAAAAGGATAGATATGGAACACGATCAAACATATTCCAACTCGTGTGAAAGGCCAATTGGTATATGAAACCAATCAAACAATCACCCACTCGCGAATAAGGCCAATCGCTATTTGGTAGAAGCTCGCCACAACTAGACGCGTTCTCTAGTTGATAAGAGACACGTACAATCTCCTGGAATCCTCGACAGAAGTCTTGCACAAACATTCACAAAGGAACACGAGTAATAACTCTTTAATTGATAACTTGAATGTTGGGTGTACAAAATTTGTAGCTTTTACACCCTCTATTTATAGAGGTCTCAAAAACATAAAACTAACCTAAAAGGAATAGGAAAACAAATCCCAAACTAACTAGGAAACATAATACTACTTAAATAAGGACTATAACTCGTTTTTATGACCAAAGGAAGCTCCTTAGCAGCTAAGTAGCTCCAAACACGTTTTTACTGCTTAAGGAAGCTCCTTAGTGGTTAAGCAATCTCTTTCCTTGCCCTTTTCACATTTGGACGACTTGGGCAGCAAGGATGGACGTTTTGGGCTCCAAGAAATGTTGTAGGCCTGATCCTTAATGCATTCTCCATTTTATCCATCAAGAATGCTCCTAGTTGATCCTTAAATCGTCGAATATGAATCTTCATTTTTGGAGCACGGGAATTAAATATCTCGCTAGTCGATATCACATCATTCCCTCTCTCTTGAAGAAGATTCGACCTCGAATCTTTACAGAATCTTGATCTCCGATCACCTCCATTCTTCTTGGTCTTCCAACAAAATTGTCTTGGTAGTGAGGATTGTATCAGATAATTGAAATAAAGTATCTTGTTTGGTTGAACCATGCAAATGTGGTACTTGATATGTGATATTTGGTAAGCAGAGTGATAAAACGAGTTATTTCGAAATAACACATGGGTATAAGTTATTTGTAAATAACTCACTGTCCAAATAACTCATTTCAGTAAAACGCTGTCAAACAAGTTATTTGAACCCAAATAACTCATACAAATACTCCATCCAAACGACCCCTAGTTCTTCTGCATCATCGGACACAACGAGGGCAGCGGAGAGAGAGCGAAGATGGGGCCATGAGGAAGAAAATGAGAGAGGTGGGAAGACGAGAAGATGACAACGGGAAGACGAAAATAAGGATTTTCTTATCTTTTTTTTCCCATTATCCACGTGTATTGGTTGGACCACTTTTTGTAAGCGGGCCCGGGCTTTTTCCAGCCAACTCAGTTCATTTCGTCAATCTAGTCAGATTGTTAATTGACACCATTAGAGCATTGGACGAAATTTTATGTATTTCTATAGTTGTTGTTATATTTGTTACAGACGTGAAAGTTGTCTTTATGGAAGTATATTTTGCCTTATTTTAAGAGTGCAATCTTTAATTTGATTTTATATTTTTATTATTGTAAAGTAAGAATAAAACTAATTCCCAAGTACATAAAGACCAGTAATAATGTCTTACATAATGATATAATGTAAAACCTGCAGCTAGGGCTGCAAATGAGCCGAGCTGCTCGCGAGCGGCTTGGCGTTCGACTCGAGAAAAGTTTGCTCGAAACTCGACTCGTTAATCAACGAGCCAAACACGAGCTCACCTTTGTTCAGCTCGTGAAGCTCGCGAGCTAGCTCGACTCGGTGGCTTGTTGAGCTAAACTCGTGAGCTGGCTCGTTTAGAGCTCATGATATGTCTTGACATGTGGCTAGAGAGCCAACTCGATTACCAACTTATGGACGAATCAATCTATATCTTATGATTTTAATTCATATGGTTGTTAAATTATCTATCTCACCATAGATAAGTTTAACACGTTGAGTTTGTGAGCAAATATATCTTATTTTCTACTTTAAAAAGAAATTATGCATCATAAATTGCTTCGATACTATGAAATAGCATGATTTGGAGTACTTAAAATTTATTAACTAAATAACATATGATACCAACAAAGTATAGTATGAGATTAGCTAACAAAATAAATCATATGTATTATGATATACAAAATAAAGTATCAAATAAAACATAAAATTTTAATAAACAAACTAGCTCGAGCTCGACTCGACTCGGCTCGTTAATAAATGAGCTGAGTTCGAGCTTGACTCGTTTATTAACGAGCCGAGCTCAATCTAAGGTAAAACTCGACTCGGCTCATTTGCAGCCCTACCTAGACAAAAGTAAAAACCGAACATTGAAACATGCGTCTTCCTCTTCTCCCAGGGATGATGTGATCGTGACGAGATGTTGAGAGATGATCGTAAATAAAACAAATAAAACAAATAGTGCATTGCATTCCTTGGAGATAAAACAAGAAAGCGACAACCTCATTTAACTAATTATTTAATCATTTATTTCCCTCTAGTTCCCCGTTTTGGACATTACCCGCGAGTCCGAGTTACGTAAAAGAAAAATCAATCTGAACTTTTGTGATTGGTTACCTCGGTTATATTTGTTACTTTTTATCATATATCAGTACACGAATTCATATTTTTGTCATACAGGTTACATTGATTTTCACACGAAGAAAGCCTGGAAGTGGAAGTTTCCACTTTGTGTTTGATTGAAACCTGATCACCCCAACCCACTTCCACAAAGAGAGGGATGATCAGGTGTTGTTATCAAAGAGATACAGATTCCTGTATGTTAACATCAAACCTATTCTGGGTCAATGCTTCCCGCCCTCCAGCACTTCTGTGTCGAAGGCGCTGGTGCAATGCTTCGGACAACTGGCTGAAGAATTCTGCATCCCATCTGTAGATTAACAATGCGTCTTCTGCGTAACATATGTACATCGACGTAACGGCGCTCTCAACCACCACCATTGCAACTCCAACCTGTCCAGTAAGCCATCCACTCTTTTAGTTTTTACTCAAACATGACCTGGCTTCATACAGACACACTCATTTGATGGAGAGAGTACTAGCAGACCAACATAAACAATGAAAGAGGGAGCTCATTGACCATCTGAAGTGTTAGCCATTGGTTGTAATTGCGATTCTACATTGGAATTCTGGTCGTTTTTTTTTGGCTACAACGACTATGGGATTCTTGGACTTGAGATCTTCAATCCCTTGATGTTTAGAATCTCTAGTTTCAAAGCCAAGGATTCGCCAAATTTCAATTATTCAAAATCCCAACTTCCATATGATATATATCCCTTAGATTTATCTGTCTACTTCTACAAAGAAATATTGCTTACTCACCGTCCAATTCCTCTTAACAGTGCATGACTAAGTCTTACAAGACGAGCTAAACGAGAGCATGAAAGTTGCTAGAAGCCTAGAACTTCCAACTAATGATCAAATTTTTGAAAGTGATTAATCATGCACGTAGAAGAGATTCTCGCTTGAAAAAGTAGAGAACGGCAAAAAGAACTTACCAAGACCATCCCCATCAACATTGCAGCAAGTTATTAGACATACTCGTGTACCATGATTTACACCTTTTCTATGAATGCAAAACCATTACTAAACACTTGAGATAACAAAAGCTCAATAGGGAAGAAACTCTCAGAGAACAACACAAATAACAGAATTGAAAAAGATTACCATTACAATGCTCAATAGGGAAGAAACTCTCAGAGAACAACACAAATAACAGAATTGAAAAAGGGAAAGCACATAGATTACATTTTTTAAGACGAACCACCACAGTACAAATGATTGATGTTGACTCTCAAGTCATTTTGTTTTTTCTCGACCAAGATGTTGTAAGTTGTAACCATAGTTTCATACAACAACTTAACAAGGCTGCTTGGCCTTTCTCCCTATAGCAACAAAAATTGAGAACAGGCTTTCAAGTCTAAACCATTCAAACATCAATTTAGTAGTCATTGCTTCATGACCTCAAGAAGAAGGGAAAAAGAAAAGGATAGACAAGTGACCTCAAAATATGTATTAGTTGCTAGGTTCAAGAGCAACTTGAAGATGCTATAATGGATACAAAACAAAAAGTTTTTGGGACGCCCTATATTGACTTACTTGGGTATAATTTCAAGTTAGGTAACTTGCACAGATTTATACCATAAAATCATTTAAAAGCATCTTAAACCGTTGATTAAGAAAAAAATTAAAAAAATAAATAACGGAACACCTGCAGTGCCGGTCATTCCTTTCTTGTTACCTTTTTTATTCCTTTCCTTTTTCCACCTTAACGGCTCTAGCTTTGTTTTATCCATTGCATGAATTTTAAATTCTTTTTTAATTATTTTTTCATAATTTTGGAAGATATATTATAAAAATTGTTACGTGAGTCTTTTGTAATGACAACTATTTCTTAAGTAGCAGTTAAATCAAAAGCTCTACGTGAGACTTCCGTATTTACTTCACACTTTACGTAATGCAAGGTTAATATTCATTACGTAAAAGAACCCTCAATTACATAAGGTTCCCGTAATAACATTTTACAACTGTTAGATAAAATACACATTCATTACGTAAGGCTTCCATAATGACTTCACACTTTACGACACACAAGGTTAATATTTATTACGTAAAATATTACGAAATGATAGTTATTTCTACGTAATAGTTAAATCGAAAACATTATGTAAGGCTTTCGTAATGTCTTATCATTTTACGTAACATGAGGTTAATACTCATTACGCAAAAAAACCTTCCATTACGTAAGACTTTCGTAATGAACTTTTACAATTGTTACGTAAAATACAAATCCATTACGTAAAGGTTACGGAATGATAGTTATTTCTTACGTAACAGTTTAATCGGAAGCGTTACGTAAGGCTTTCGTAATGACTTAGCTCTTTACGTAACACGACGTTAATGCTCATTACGTAAAGAGAACTTCCATTACGTAAGGCTTCCCTAATGACATTTTACACGTGTTACGTAAAATACACATTCATTACGTAAAGCTTACGAAATGATAGTTATTTCTTACGTAACAGTTAAATCGGAAGAGTTACGTAAGGCTTCTGTAATGACTTAGCATTTTACGTAACATGAGGTTAATACTCATTACGTAAAGGGACCTTCCATTACATAAGGCTTCTGTAATGACATTTTACAAGTGTTACGTAAAATACACATTCATTACGTAAAGATTACGAAAAAATAGTTATTTCTTACGTAACAGTTAAATAGGAAGAATTACGTAAGGCTTCCGTAATGACTTAGCATTTTACGTAACATGAGGTTAATACTCATTACGTAAAGGAACCTTCCATTACGTATAGGTTGTGGAACGATAGTTATTTCTTGCGTAACAGTTAAACCAGTAGCGTTACGTAAGGCTTCCGTAATGACGTAGCATTTTACGTAACGCGAGGTTAATACTCATTACGTAAAGACACCTTCTATTACGTAAGGCTTCCGTAATGATCTTTTACAACTGTTACGTAAGATTACCATATGTTACGTAACCATTACGTAATGCCTATTGTATTTTACGTAATGCGACCTGTGAAACCTGCTATAGCAGGTAAAAAAATTCAAGTTACCTTACTTCAAGTTACCGTAGGAAATCCCAATGAGAATCTTCCTTTTGAGGGACAACAATCATTGTGATTTCCTGTCTCACAATTCAAAACATCAACTTGACCAACCTTAGGGATTCAAAATATATCACTGTATGCCAGATAAACTTACAAAAACATTAATTTTCAAAATGCTTACCTGTCTATAACAGATATAACATACAAAAACTGCAATCCAGCTCCAATGGCGAAGGTAACACCCCAGAAAAACTGCTCAGACCAGAAACACAGGACACTAATCACGGCAAGATAAGTGGTCAAGATATGAACAGCAATGTTCGTCATCTGATTGGCAAAAGAACCAAGCATCAACAACCAAGCCCAACCAAGTAGAGTCCCAATTCCGACAGGCAGAGCATAAATGGGCCAGTAATCCTCAGTGTAACCCCATCCATGGCGGCCATCGCCACGATACATATCGAGATGAAACCTATTCGTTCCCCTGAACCTATTAAAGCCCAACATCGCAAGAGCATACCCTATTCCTATGAGATGAACTGTAAAGATCCCTGACCAGAAAACATCGTGCCATTTCCGTGGTACGTCGGTAGCCAGTGCTTGAGCTCCACCCCCGTCGAGACTCCTCCCCACAATCTACATAATTGACCCAAAAAACAGAGAAACAGTAAGAATCAGGTCCTCTCATTAAGCATCAAAGCAATCATCAATGAATTTCAGGACGCGGAGGAAAATGGGAAGGGGAAAAAAGTTAGAATCTTTTCCAAACTAACAGAACCTGGGAACCCAATCCTCGAGAAGAAAACCGCTTTGCCCCCAAAATGATATGGAAGTGAACACCCTTAACTGAAAATCCTCCGAGGATTCCTTATAAACTTAGCAATTCGACAGATCACACAAACCCAATTCAGATACGGTCTGTACCCAAAAATGGTAAAGTCCTAATCAAGAAGCGAGCACTACTGAATCGGAAAGATCAAACAACCACTCAGAAACAGACGAGTGATGGGAATTCAACAGGGCCATGAGAAATGACCAAATACAAAAGGAAGCAAGAAAAAAGCTGACCTGATCGCCGGTGGAAGGCGAAACGGCGGATGAAAGAGGAGGTTCTTGAACTGGGAGAGTCCCTCATGGCGGGCGGAGGCGACGATGAAATAGATTATCTCTTCTTCTGCCAGCAGTGAGTCTCCTTCTTTATCATAGTGAACGGAATGGGGAAGAAACGGAGAAAACTGGAGTGGGTAGTGAGTTAATTAATAAGAAGAAGAACAGGATCGAAAGTCCAAGTCAATCAATCATCTGAGGAAACAAGGATTGGAAGTTGAGGCATAGAACAAGAAGACGAGGACAAAGTGTGGAGTTGATTACTGCTTAGGGTTCATTGTTTCCATTCCATTCCTGTGGGGAGTGCACAAGGAAACTGATCAAGGGGGAAGATGGAAGGAAAATTGCGCGCAAATGATAAGTCTGCCAATTGCAAAAAAACAAAAAACTCAACGGCTAGCAAACGAGGAGCAGGGTGCGGCGGAGATGATCCGCGCTCCGGCGTAGAGAAAAGAATTGCCGCAGGGAAAAGAAAGAGGGCAGTGTGAGCCAGTGGGGCAGTCTTTCGTCAGTCAGAATCTGACCACAGAGAGAGACCACCAAAATCTCTCTTCGGATTCGCCGACCGCTTACTTTTCGCCGCCTCCTCAGTCCTCCTCAATAAGGCCGAGTCATATTATTAATCGCTGGTCGAGCCGATTTAACCTGGTATCCGCCGAGCCAGCGGTTCGATTCCGGTTTTTTACCGGCCGGTTTTAGTTTATCAGTCTACGAAAAGTAAAATCCAGGCAAAGAAAGGTAAATGACCAACATCTCCTCCCCGTATTGAAATTTCAATTAGGGTTCTACGCAAGACGGAACTCCGCAAATTCGAAAAAGCTTTCGCACCCAAATCCTCAGTCCTCACCAACATCTCTCCCACTGTCCTCTCTCGCCGGCCGGTTGTTACCCCAGCCACCACCAGTTGGCCGTCATTCAACTCGCCGGCTCTTCTCCTCACGGCTGAAGTAGAGAGCAAGTTCTTGTCGAGTCACCGGCCATGGGGAATTCAGGAAAGGAGGCCGATGCATCTCTCGGCTACCTCACCAGGAAGGACACGGAGGTAAAGCTCCCTCGTCCTACTCGGGTCAAGAACAAGACCCCAGCTCCGATTCAAATCACTGCGGAGCAGATTCTTCGGGAGGCACGGGAGCGGCAGGAAGCCGAAATCCGCCCTCCCAAGCAGAAAATTACCGACACCGGTGAGCTTGCGGATTACCGTCTTCGCAAAAGGAAGGAATACGAAGACCTGATTCGGCGGGTCAGGTGGAACATCAGTGTTTGGGTCAAGTATGCTCAGTGGGAGGAGTCGCAAAAGGATTTCAGCCGAGCTCGCTCGGTCTGGGAGCGAGCTCTCGAAGTTGACTACCGTAACCACACGTTGTGGCTGAAGTATGCGGATTTCGAGATGAAGAACAAGTTCGTCAACCATGCGAGGAATGTTTGGGATAGGGCAGTCAGTCTTTTGCCGAGAGTGGATCAGCTATGGTATAAGTATATACATATGGAGGAAATGCTTGGTAATGTAGCTGGTGCGCGCCAGATCTTCGAGAGGTGGATGAATTGGATGCCTGACCAGCAAGGTTGGCTTTCCTTTATCAAATTTGAGCTTAGGTATAACGAGATTGAGCGTGCTCGAGGAATTTACGAGAGATTTGTTGAGTGTCATCCGAAGGTTACTGCTTGGATTAGGTTTGCCAAGTTTGAGATGAAGAATGGTGACATTGTTAGGGCTGGAAATGTGTATGAGCGTGCAGTCGAGAAGCTGGCCGAGGATGAGGAAGCAGAGAACTTGTTTGTGGCATTTGCCGAGTTTGAAGAGAGGTGCAAGGAAACTGAACGTGCTCGGTGTATATACAAGTTTGCACTGGATCATATCCCCAAGGGAAGTGCCGAGGATCTGTATAGGAAGTTTGTTGCTTTTGAGAAGCAGTATGGAGATAAGGAGGGGATAGAGGATGCGATAGTCAGTAAAAGGAGGTTTCAGTATGAAGATGAAGTGAGGAAAAACCCGCTCAATTATGATGCTTGGTTTGATTATGTTCGGCTGGAAGAAAGCGTAGGGGACAAGAATAGAGTTAGAGAGGTTTATGAACGTGCCATTGCTAATGAGCCTCCTGCTCCGGAAAAGAGATACTGGCAGCGATACATTTATTTGTGGTACACTGTTTATTCTCTTTCTAGGTTGTAGATTGAACTGGATTTCTTTTTTGTTACTCGTGAGTAATTATGTTTACCTTTTTGGTTTTGTTATTCAGGATAAACTATGCCCTGTATGAAGAGCTGGATGCTGAAGATGCTGAGCGAACAAGGGCGGTCTACAGGTATACCAACAGTTAGGCTATATATTTTGTTGGTAGTTTTTGCTGCTCCCATTTTCTTCTTTTTGGTTGCTCTACAGGTTTTATGATTTTTTATGTCAAGAATGTGTGTAAAGATTGTTCTGGGACTTGTTTCTAATCGTGTATTTATTTTGACATGCGTGAACCTGCATGGTTTTCAGTTGAAGTTGAACCAACCTCGAGTGGCTTTCTATTCTAACACTGGTTGCGGTGGTTCTAGGTTATGTTTGCAGCAAATTCCCCACGATAAGTTCTCATTTGCTAAAATTTGGCTTCTAGCTGCACAGTTTGAGATCCGTCATCTAAATCTGAAGGGTGCTAGACAGATTTTAGGCAATGCAATTGGAAAGGCTCCAAAGGACAAGGTAAGTCTTAGGAACATTGTTGAGTGTGGGAAACTTCATAATACACTGTTATTTCTCGTTCTAACTACTTGCTTGTGACCAAACAGATATTCAAGAAATATATCGAAATAGAGTTGCAACTTGGTAATATGGACCGTTGCCGCAAACTTTATGAGAAGTACCTGGAGTGGTCCCCTCAAAATTGCTATGCCTGGAGTAAATTTGCCGAGCTGGAGAGATCCCTTGGTGAAACTGAGAGAGCAAGAGCAATTTTTGAGCTCGCCATTGCTCAGCCAGCTTTGGATATGCCCGAGCTTCTTTGGAAGGTACATTCTATAATCTCTATTTTAGTCTAAGCCTCTCCCTGTCACTGTTGTTATTTTCGAGGTCATTTTCTTCTTTGGTGGTTTTCTCCTTAAAGGATTTGGAGTAACTAATTGATAGCTTTCCCAGTGTCTTGATGGTAGCATAAGTTTTTCCCCCCTTCCTGCACTGCTTATGGATTTGATTGGTGGATTGCTGGCTATGAATTGGAAAATGACTCTTATCTGATCTGACTGCAGGCATATGTTGATTTTGAAATCTCTGAGAAGCAAATCGATAGAACAAGACAACTTTATGAGAGGCTGTTGGATCGGACCAAGCACTTGAAAGTCTGGATTAGCTATGCGAAGTTTGAAGCTTCCGCCATGGGGAATGATGATGATAATGATGATGATGATTCAGAGGAAGTTACAATTTCTGAGGACCAGAAGAAATTGTGTATTCAAAATGCAAGAAGTAAGCTTTCTGTCTCTAATTATATTTCTTGTATTTTTCTGCTCGAGGTGGTAAGGTCATTTTTTATTCATTTCAATTTTCAACAACTATTTTTTTTGTGTGCATATCAGGTGTCTTTGAGAAAGCTCTTAACTACTTCAGAACTTCTGCTCCCGAGCTGAAAGAGGAGCGGGCGATGCTTTTAGAAGAATGGCTAAACATGGAGAGCAACTTTGGCGAGCTTGGCAATGTCGCTTTGGTCCAGCCTAAGCTACCCAAGAAGTTAAAGAGGAGGCGGCCTATCAATTCAGAAGATGGTCTCTCTGGGTACGTAGTTAGAAGCTACCTAACTTTACAATCTCCGTTGTTTTCCAATATTCTTCTTTGTTCCACTTGGATTACTTTCGTTTATAACAGCAAGTTTAACAAATGTTGGGATGTATTTGTTCTTCTCAGGATGGAAGACTACGTCGACTATGTCTTTCCGGAGGAGAATAATGCTCCAAACCTCAAGATCTTGGAAGCGGCTTACAAGTGGAAGAAGCAAAGGCTTTCTTCCTCGGACGAATAGCCCAAAATCTTCCTGTTGTTTTGAGTTCATTCACTTTGGTTATGTACAGATCCCTGGGGTGTTTATGGTGCTTTGGAGCAAAAAGATTCCATGTCCACTGGACCTTAGAATGCCTGTTTTAACTTGGAAAATTTGAGTGTACTAGTTTTGCCATGGAGGAAAGTAGGGAAGAAGAACCGAATCTGTGTGGATTCTGTCATTCTAAGCCCAAGAATCGATTACTTGTACACTAACTTCTGTACTTTAACTGGGAAAACCGTTTGATGGAGAAATTATAGATGAGTAGCACGAGGTTTTGTTAGTAGTTTTTAGTAATTAACTGATAATAAGTCATTATAATCAATGTCATATTTGGTATTTTGGCCTGCATATCCTATCCTCTGTGATTGGCTGATAATGTCACTATAATCTATATCAGCACTAGGGGTGCTGATTTGGTTCGGTTCGGGTAACCAAACCCGAAACCCAGCAAAACCCGACAACCCGAACCCATTACCACACAACCCGAAATCGAACCCAAAATTGCAGATTGCCGGTTTCGGGTACCTGAACCCGGAAAAATACTTGCGGTTTCAGTTGTTAGCTTGAACCCGAAGACACACGGCTAATGAACTGCGGAAGAAAGCTTAAAGACTCTCTCTCTCACTTTGTGCGTGTCTCTCTCTCCTCTGTCTCTGCATGAAAGCTTGAACAGGAGGAGGAAGAGGAAGAAATTCGCAGTATATATAGCCAGAGAAGAGAAACCCAAAAGGAAAAGGCAAAGCAAATTCACTAGATTCTTGTTTTCATCAAACGCTAATCCAATTCAGCCTCTCACTGCCTCACTCCCACAACCCACCAAAAAGAGGAAGCCACTGAGTGAAGCGAGTTTCTCTGTGCCAAAGCTGCAGAGCTCGTTTCCTGAAGAAAAGAAAACAGAGCACCCATCAACCTCTGCTTTTCCTTCCAATCCCTCTTCTTCGGCATAAGCACTTTCAGACCCAGACTCCACCTTTGATTCATTCCAATTACAAGTAAACCGCCATAGATTAATCCTGCCGATCCTCTTTAGCGTCGATTCCTTTCTTTGTTCCTCAAATTATCCTGTTGTTGCTCACTTGCTCTATTGTAATTCGATTGAAAGAGGACCCAAACGCTAGGAATCCACCAGGAACCCAATTGCCACAATACTCATATTCTCCCCCTTAATCCATCAGCCGCTTCAATTAACAGGGGACACAAACAGAACGGGAAAGGGAGGGGAAAGAAGAAGGCCTTACTGGGTTGCCATAGTCAAGGTCGGAGAATCGAATAATACGGGAGTAGTCGACCCAATTCGCCGTGGATGGGTTTCGGTCGTCCGCAGCTGAGTTTCTCATGAGGCCGCTGGCAATGAGTATGATTATGGTGGCGAGGGCGATGACGGCGAGAGGGTTGATGGCGGTCGGAGGTCCCCACAAGGTTGCTATGGCGAGGGAGTTGAGAAGGGAGGCTCCGACCGGCGACGACACCATCTCTTCAAAGCTGCGTCAGGCAATCCAATAAAGCCATTCGGTTTTTCGGGTTAAGCTCGGTTCTCGGGTTTCCATGAAACCGAAACCGCTGCTTCACATAATCGGGTTGGAACTGAGAACCCGAAACCCAAAAGTGCATTTATCAGTTCGGTTTCGGGTTAACCTGAAAAACCGAAACCGACCTGACACCCCTAATCAGCACCATGGTTCACTATGGTTCAAAAAGGTACGTTTAAACTTGCATTTATGCACGTCTAGGCGTAAGGCAATTACAAAACGCCTTGCCTAGGGGTTTCACGCCTAATTGAATACTGGAACACGTCAATGAAATAAGGCGACATATAAGTCTCTCCTAAACATTACTAGATGGAGCTAAGAAGTCAATATTAAAGACCAAAAGTAATATCAACTATGAAATCAATTTTCTATTGCAATATTTTCAATAGCTCAAGAACTTTGTGAGCTATTGAGCTATGATTCTATGAATTCGTGAGCTATATTCTTGTCATTAAGTGTTAAGTAAGTTATAAAACATTTTAACTGAAATGAGGAAGTGTTTTAGATTATTATTGGGTTATAGGTATAATATGCCCCTCTACTATGACGTTCTATCAAACATGCCCCTGTACTTTGAAAAAATTATCAAACATGTCCTTCTATTAAAATTTCGATTGAAAAAATCGGCAACCATGGTTGAACCGATATTTTGACGACCCGACATCGGCAAATGGGAGGGAAAATGATAGTTTTGTCCCCCGTTTTATTCCTCTAGGTCTCTTCAAAGTGAAATTATTTGAATTATTTGGCTATACAAAAGAACCAAAATAAATTCTAAAGTAAAATTATTAGGGATATTTTAGACATTTGTGTCGCCCAAACCAAAGTTCGGCCATGGTTAATGGTTTTTGGATGAAAATTTTAACAAAAGGGCATGTTTGATCATTTTTACAAAGTACAAGGGCATGTTTGATGTAAAAAATAGTAGAGGGGCATGTTTGATAAAACGTCATAGTAGAAGAGCATATTATACCTATAACCCATTATTATTTCATTCATCATGCACTGCGAATAACTATTTTTCTTCCAACGCCTAAACACATTTAGTCTACGTCTAAAAAAACTAGGTGCAAGACAAAGGCTCAACGCCTACCTTACTACGCCTTTTTTAACCTTGATCAGCTAGTGCCCATTAATCTACCCAGAAAGTAGAGGAACTAATTAATTAATGAACTAAACAAACACGTCACAAACAAGAACAGTTGACTTAGATCCCTCACGCGCCAATTGCCAAGTTGCGGAATCTCTGTTCGTGTACTCTCACCTCACAACAAGTCAACCACCAATACTAGGACGGAGCTTCCAACCATCATTGCCACAAGGGATCGTTTGGCAAAATTTTCCTATTTTTTCGATATTTTCGCTAATTGTTTCACTCACTCACTCACCTTCTCAAACCAAAATCAGTCAACTCATAAGAATTTTGTTTACACAGGTCTAAATACAAGAATATCATGTGCTTCACAAATAAATAGGATTATCGGGTTCGAACATAAGACTTCTCGGTGGCTCTATACCATATCCAGAACCCTTTGATCCCAATAATTCGAATTGTTGGGAGATGTTCAATAATGAATTCATTCACTAACACTTATCATGTGTCGGAGCGCATTAATTAAAGATAATAGTGTCAATCTAAAGTTTAAGCACATGCAATTGGGTATATATGTCTTGGAGTAGGGGTGACTATACAGTCCGGTTAAATTGGCCCAAATTGATCCGGTCCAGTCCGGTCTTTTTGAAAATATAAGGAACAAAGATTGACTTGGAACAGTTCGGTCTTGATTCGGTCCGGTCTTGACCCGGTCCGGTCCCAATGTGGTCTTGTTTTTTTTATTGAGCTTGTGTGGATTTGAGTGGCCTAAGGCCTGAAAGGGTGAGGAGTTGTTTAAGTTTTGTAATAAGTGCAAAGGTTTGTGACCATTTATGCAAATTATCCTTAAGTTTTAGTTGTTGAGCACTCTTATCTAGTATTTATCCAGTTTTCGATCTAGTCCCGAACGGTTTTTTTACCTCACATCTAAGCGCAAAGATTGGATTGAATTATTTACTATCCGGTCTCTGTCCGGATTATACGGTACGGTTTCGGGTAAAATAAAAAAACCCGCACCAAGTAGCCAGCCCTATCTTGGAGTGGGGACGAGATACGGTGACAACCCCCTTGGGGGTTGTCAGATTCACAACCCACTTCATAGCCCTTGGATACGCTCTCTCTCCTGTCTCTTTCTTCTTTTTTTAAATTAACGGTTAAGATTAAAGCAAGGATATTTTTGGAAGGGTAAAAATTTATCACACCCAATCATTCATCCTACCATATAAAAAGAACAAAAACCCTAACTCCTCCATCCTCCCTCTCTCCCGTAGAGATCACCGTCTCTCCTCCCCCTCTCTCCGCCGCCACAGCCCTCCCACCACCGCGCCTGCTGTCCCCGCCGCCCTGCCGCGCCGCTCCTGCCGCGCCGCTGTCCTCCCCCCGCCGCGCCGCTGTCCTCCCCTGCCGCCGCCGCGAGGTCACTCTTCCCTGCCTCCCTCTTTCCTCATCCCTATTTTTTTCCAGATCTGATAGTCTCTACTGGTACCAATACCACTGGTAGCACTATTGGTACCAATACCACTAGTAGCGCTATTGGTACGCTACCACTACTCACTGGTACCAATACCAGTGGCTCCCCTATCATCTGGTACCACTATCATCTGTTTTTTTTGTGTTATTCTCTACTGGTACCGCTACCAATGCTAGTGGTAGCGCTACCAGTGCTAGTAGCGTTGTGTTATTCTCTACTGGTAGCGTTGTACTGGTAGCGTACCACTAGTACTGGTACATTTTTTACTGGTATCGCTAGTACTGGTACATTTTTTAACGTACTGGTAGCGTACCACTAGCACTGGTATATTAATTACCAGTAGACTAATAGATTGGTACACTTTTTAACGCATTGGTACATTATTTCAGGTTGCCGGAGGAAGTTTGCCGGAGAGAATTCGCCGGAGAAAAAGTTTGTCGGTCGATGCGGAGTGGCTGCTGGAGAAAGGAAGAGAGAGAGAGAGAGAGATAGATAGAGATATTAATGTATAGGATTTAAATTTCAGAAAAATTGTATTTAATATGGGGTTTTAATTCCCAATATAATTAATACAAAAGAGGTAATTAATATATTCCTTTTTTCATACCCAAAATACCCTTGGTTGTGAATCTGACAACCCTCTTAGGGGTTGTCACCGTATCCCGTCCCCTTGGAGTGTAGAGATCTAAAAATAGTTGGTAATATATTCCATAATTTGGCATCCGATTTCAAAACAAATTTTTTTTTTTGCCAAAAGATCGCTCGTATTACCGAGAAACAGCCAGATACACAATAGTCACATAGCTGAAAACAGCCAAGAAACAAAATTGAACCCCACCAAAGAAGGGGACAACGAAAGGGCTTTTCTTGCCACCAAATGGGCAACCCTATTAGACTCCCGACCCACAAAAATAACCCGAAACTCCTGGAACAAGTCACGCATACTCCGAATCTCCTCCAACAGCATCCCTCCATGGACATCATCTACCTCACCATCCCGGATCTTCCCCACGACCACTTGGGCGTCACCTGCAAAAACCATCGACTGGAATCCAAACGCCAAGCACCAACGAAGCGCATCCCGGAAGGCCAGTAGTTCAACAAGAGCCGGCTCCCAAATCCCCACATACCGTGCTGCCGATGCTGCCACCACCATGCACGTGGGATCCTGAAGAGCCCAACCTCCCGCTCCATGTGAACCAGGCGCCGTGGCCCCATCCACGAACATGACGAACTCTCCCATCGGAACATCCTGACGGCCTCTGGCACCTGAGACCCCTGAGTAACGACTAACACCTCGGCCGGTAAGTATGCCATCCCACTCTGCAACCTGCAAACGAAATTGAGATAACAACAACGGCACAATGTACTGAGTCAACTCAAAAACCACCCAATTACGGGCCTTCCAAATGCGCCAGAAAAGGGCTACAATATGCATCATGACCCCCTGATCAAGCTCCCGCCACTCGAGTAACCTGCGCCAAAAGATCCCAACATTGCAAAGGGGGAAGCGATCGCGAATGGCCAGAAGCTCCGCCCCTTCCCACAACTCCACCGCTACTCGGCAGCGGAAGAAGAGATATTCCAGAGATTCCCCCTCCTCCCCGCAGACTGGACATGGCTCCAGCCCCCCTACCCCCCAAGAACTCAGTGCCTCACCAGTTGGCAAGACACCGCGAACCATCTGCCATATGAAATACCGCAACTTGGGAGGTATGGGAGCCCCCCAAACCTTTTTCCATAGACTACGATCCCACACCTGCACTTTCGCCTTCACCCTTAACTCCTTATACCTCCGTAACTCCACTGCTAAGTGATAGCCAGACTTGACCGTATAGCGACCTGATTGCTCTCCATTCCAAACCATACGATCAGGCACCAGAGAAATAGGCAACGGAATAGCCACAATAGCTCGGACAATATCCTCCTCAAAGATCTGACGTAGGCAATCCACCCTCCAAACCCCTTGATTTGGGCAAATTAAAGACGCAACTGAACCCTCGACCCTAATGATCCCCGGACGAGGTGTAGGGGGAGATGGATGCAACGTTGGTACCCAATTGTTCGTTAGCACATCTATCGACTCACCCGAACCAACTTGCCATCGCAGACCTTGTACCAGCAAATCACGTCCATGCAACACCCCCCGCCATCCCCAAGAAGGTAAAGATCCAGCCTTGGCCACCAGAATAGAAGAGTTGGGAAAGTACTTACCCTTAAACACCCGAGCTAACAAAGAGTTAGGTTCTTTCCAAATTCGCCATGCCATCTTTGCCAACAAAGCTTGATTAAACTCCTCAAATCGCCTAAAACCCAAACCTCCTTCATGTTTACTTAAGCACAAAGATTTCCAAGAAACCCAATGAATGCGCCGCTCACCCTGTTTCACTCCCCACCAAAATCGAGCCAAATGCCTATCCAGCAAACGACACAGTGACAGAGGTAGAAGGAAGCTAGACATTACATAGATAGGCAAAGCATTAGCAACAGACTTAATAAGGACTTCCTTAGCAGCCCATGATAAACATCGCTGCTTCCATCCCTGGAGGCGTTGAATAACTCGCTCCTCAATATACCTAAAGGTATCAAATTTAGAGCCCCCACCAGGGACGGCAAACCCAAATATTGATCTG